ATGTATAAATGGTAGCATATGCTTGCATCTGAGTAGTTTTTTCATCTTGCTTCTTGTTTGTAGAAATTTTCCAGGCCTCAAAACTTTCCCTCATTTTATACTCTGTTGCTTGTAGTCCAAGTTGGCACTATTTATACCACTATAACCTTCACCAAAGTCTGGTGGATCTCTGTATATGTCACAGAGAGTCATTCATTAAAAAAGAGACTCCTCATATCATTTCTAGATGATCCTGCCTCTATTATTGGCCTCTGCTGAGATGGCTAAAGGAATCTGTGAGTTATATGCCTAATATTTTCAAAGACCCTTTTGTGTGACTAAATGCTCTGATTTTAAAAATCTTTCTGAGGGAAAAGGTTGTCCCAGCTATACCCTCAGCTTTTTCTCTAGAGCTTCATTTCCCAATAATAAATTTCTTAACTTGAGCGTCTTTAGTAAACTCGCTAGGCTGAGGATTTCCCAAATTAGCAAGTCAGGATTCTTTTTAATTTAACAGTTTCATCTCAATTTCTGTCTTTCCTCACACAATTCAATGATGAGCACCAAGGAGAAATCTGGCCACACTTTCACCCCTGACTTATAAATCCCCTTGGTTCAATTTCCGATTTCTTCATTTATAATTTCTGCTTCCCACATAAATTGCAGTATGTAATTCCACTAAGCTACCTGCCATGATGTAGTGAGGATTCTTTTTCTACCAGTTTCCAGTAATATATTTCTAATTTCCATCTGAGTCCTCAACAACAGCAAGATTAACATCCTTATTCATTCCATTAGACATCCATATTTCTCACCAACAGCCTTTTTGCAATGTGGATTTTCTCTGCCATGTTCCTTATTTCCTCCTGTGTCCTTACTAGTACATTTCTACTAACAGTTTATTCAAGGAAATCTAGGTTTTCCTATTATGTTCCTAACAATTCTCCCAGCTTCTTCTCATTTCTAATTTAGAAGCCACTTGTCCACTTGTACATGTTTTTTATAGCTATATCACATCATTTGCATCAAAATGTATATTGATTTCCTATAATGACCCTAACAAATTACCACAAATTTGGTGGCTTAAAACAACACAAATGTATTATCTTAAAGTTCGGTAGTCCAGAAGTCTAATACAGATGGAACTGTGCTAAAGTCAAGGTGTTAGCAGGTGCATTCCTTTCTGGAGGCTCAGGGGAGAATATACTTTATTAACTTTTCCAGCTCTAGAAATCGTTCGCATTCCTTGGCTTGTGGTCTTTTCATTTACGTAAGTGGACTGAGTCTTCATGTTATATCATTTTGACCCTTCTTCGGCACCATATCTCTTTTTCTGATTCTCTTCTTTTGTCTTCCTCTTCCTCTTTTAAGGCCCCTTGTGATTACATTGGGTCCACCTGGGTAATTCAATATAATATCACTATTTTAAGAACAGCTGGTTAGCAACTCTAATTTTATTTGCAATCTTAATTATCCTTTGCTATATAAGATAACATACTTGTCGGTTCCAGGGATTAGGACAAGGATATATTTGGGGAGGCCTACAACAATTACAATATGCATACATTATTTATCACTGTTTAGCGATTCCAACATTTAACCATTTCAAGTAAAATGTGGAAACCTCACTTCCATGTAGGCCCGTTTACATTCCCCTCTTTTAATTATCATGATTTTGAATATCAGATTGTGTAATAGTTTTTGTTTCATTCCTTAACATTTACAAAATCAATGAGAAAAAAAACCTATTGTATGTACCCATATTTATTCTTTTCCCATTGTTCATTCTTTCTTCATAATGATTCATGATTATTTCAGCAATTCCTATCTGTATGAAGAAATTACTTCTGAAAATCTCTAAGGATAATTCTGCTAGTAAGATTTGTTTTTTACTGTTTCTTTGTCTGAGAATGTCTCTGTTTCCCCTTCATTCTCAAAGGACAGTTTTGTTGGATGTAAGATTTGAGGTTGGCAGTTATTTTCTTTCAGCACTTGAAAAATGTAATATTTTCTTTTGACCTCTATGACTTTCAGATGTGAAATCCATATGATTCAAATTGGTGTTCTGTAGGTAATGCATCATTTTCTTCTGGCTGCTTTCAAGACTTTTATTTCTTTGTTTTTACTTTTGCAGTTTTATTATGATGTGTCTTGGTTAGAATTTCATGAGGTTTATTATATTTCAGGTTCACTTAGCTTTTTCAATCTGTGGGGTTTTTTTTCACCAAATTTAGAAAGTTTTCAGCCATCACTCTCTTCTCTTTCTGACACTCTAATAGCACAAATATTACATCTTTTATTATAGTCCCACAGATCCCTGAGGCTTTGTTCATTTATTTTTCTCCATCTTTTTCTCTCTGTCATTAAGATTGATTGGCCCTCAAGTTCACTGATTTTTTCTTTTATTATCTCCACTCACTATTGAGTATATCCTGTGAGTTTTGTATCTGCAATTGTATTTTTTGTTTCTGTAATTTTAGAAGTCCAATGCACTATTCATTGCACGATGGAGCCACCTTTGCTTCTGTAATTTCATTTTTTCTTTTGCAACTTTTTTTTCTTTGCTGAGGTTTTAATTCTTTTCTCATTTTTTCAAGAGACATGTTAACTTTGAATCATTATTGTGATGGCTCCTTTAAAATAAATGTCAGATAATCTCAGCATTGAATTTATCTCAGGGTTAGCATCAGGTAATTTTCTTAACAATGTTATGATTTTCTTTCTTCTTGGTATTTTGGGCAATTTTTGATCATATCCTGGACATTGTATCTCTTGTGTCAAAATCTGAGTTCTATTTAAATCTTTTATTTTAGCAGGCAGTTCCCCTGTTAGGTGTTGGCTTTAGATAGTCTAAGGCTATGATTTTTAGTTGCGTAAAACTTTCGGGGCTATCATATTTTCTCAGTAACTAACTTATTTTTTTTGCTTTTTATGCATTTATACATGAATATAGATCTTGCTTCACAAACTTTTATCGGACTCTGTCACAGCTACAAGTTATCTCATAGAGCCTTTGAATCTTTTTTCTTCTTTTATATCTTCAATATTATATCCTGTAGTATTTTACTTCCATTTCTCATTTAATAATACATATTAATTATAAATAGTATCATCAAATACTTCCTTATATTTACCAATTTCAGTTGTCTACGTTTTGTCTTATCCTCTCATTCAACTCCTTCCTTCTGGGTTTAACTATTTTCTTGCCGAGGTATATCCTAGTAGTAGCTTTTCAATAGTAGTCTCTCACAGTCTTTTTCTTTTTCTTTTCTTTTTTTTTTTTTTTTTTTTTTTTTGCCTTTCCTGAAAATGTCCTTATCCTTCCCTCACTGAGGAATGAAAAGATAGTTTAGGACAGAATTCTATATTGAAAGTTTATATGCTCAGCACATTGAAAATATGAATTCTCTTGTTTTCAGATACATTTTTTTCATTTATCTTCAATCTGATTTTTCCATGAAGATAATCTATCATTTCATCAGACTGAATGTATTCATTGATTTATTTTTTTATATTGTTATTTTCCAGTCTCAGTGGTTTGTTCGAGTCTGGATTAAAAATTAATTTAAAAAAACTATTTGTGCTATTTCAAAATAGAGATTCATGTCTATCTTTGATATAGAAAACTCTCAGAAATCAGCTCTTCTTCAAAGTTCCCCTTCAGAGCAAGTCAGATTTTCTTTTTTCAGAACCATATTACCACAATCCTGAAGCATTTTAATGTAAATTTGTGGGAGTCTTTTAACATGTAACTAGTGTAAACTTAAATTTCATGTTTCCTGGCGTTTTATTTAATCTCAAGAAACAATTTATGTTTTCACCTAAGACTCACACTGAAAAAGTAGGAAGAATTTTCCTAGTTCCTCTTTCAATGGTGGGTCAGGGAATTTCAATTATAAGGTTCATGGCTCTGTGCAGGGAGCTCCATTTCAGCTTTGTCCTTTAACATCATGTCTCCTGTTCCTGCATGGAGGTTGACAGTTCAGCCTCCATCTTTGTGCCACAACAGGCTCTGAAGTCCCAGAGGGGTCCAGGGCTTCAGTTCTTCTGGCCTTGGTGCTAATTTCTCTTTGTTTCTGCTTTCTGACACTTCCCCTTCCTTCTTCTGAGTTGGTTGCATATTGAAACATGGATTGTACACGTAGCATTTTCATGTACTTATAGTGGGAGGGTGGCTTAATCTGTAACATCTCAATATTCTATGCTGTCAGAAATCATCTGAGCAAGCCTGAATGCCCATTTTTATGGGCAAGGTGAATCAAAGTACCTTGCCTAAGGCTGTGAAGTAACTTCAAAGTGAGAAGTGCTTATTTATACCTCTTGTGTCAGAAATGGGGAAAATCCAATTATAAATCCATTGTGTTCTAGGAGGTGGGTGCACCAAACTTGGGATAACTCCCATAGTCAAAATTTCCTGTACAGGCCTGGCAACATATAGAAGTGAGTTCAGCATCCTTGCCTGTGAAAGACATACTCTACCAAAGTTTAGTAAAGGCAATTTGAATAAGAACTGCTATGAACTTAGCTTATATATGTATATATTTCACAGTCATTCTTGAACAGCCAGTGGAATTAGGAATTACGTTTGGCAAGCAATAGCTGGTACTATTAATCAGATAATGAAGAAATCTTATCATATTTACCTTAGATCTGCCATTGAAAAGTAAAAAATTGGCCTAATTTCTGGAAAGTTTTGGTTTTCAGACCAGCTAGTATTTAGGAGCTATTTGTTCAATACTTCACCATAACCATTACTGGCTAGCAGGCTTTTTCATCTCTCATGTTTAAGAGTAATCAAAAATTGACAAACAAAAGGTAAAATATATTACCCATTTACCAAATGAGTCCACTCAATAATATTATTTGCATATGTAATATGAGCCTAGATTATATATCTATCTATACATACACACACATATTTATACATACACACACACACACATATATATATATCTGAATATGTACCAAAACCAAAAAATTAAAAAATAATGTGAGTTGCATTCTACATTTTTATTTTGTAGCCTATTATTTCATTCTCAGTATAACTGTTCCGGATAAAACTGTGATGGATGGCTTTTTTTCATTTAAATTATTAAACCAGCTTGGAATGATTGAAGAGGCAAGGTTTTATAAGTAAGTAAAATTTACTCTTTTCCTCTCTCATGTATTCAATGTTTGCTTTCTTCAGTATCCCATCCAACAGATAATTTAAAGAGTATACTTTATTTTTAATCCAGAGAGTCTTAAAATGCTAAATATTAAAAGGATCTCATGTGTTATATTCTAATTCCTTTATTTTACAGAGAAAGATAACATATGTTAAAGACGCTCCCTTACTCTAAACAACTAGTGACTTTAAAAGTTATAGGAGTATCAGGAGATGGAGACCATCCTGGCTAACATGGTGAAACCCCGTCTCTAGTAAAAATTCAAAAACATTAGCTGGGCATGGTGGCACACACCTGTAGTTCCAGCTACTCAGGAGGCTGAGGCAAGATAATCGCTTGAACCCAGGAGGTGGAGGTTGCAGTGAGCCAAGATCATGCCACTGCACTCCAGACTAGGTGACAGAGCAAGAATCCGTCTCCAAAAATAAATGAATAAATAAATAAATAAATAGATAAATAAAATAAGTTAAAGAGTAAAAGACGACTTTGTTTCTTTCTCTCTCTTTTAACTCTCATTGCAGTGTTTTTCCTAACCGTATTGCCTTCTAATTCTCTCCAGTTTTCAGGCAATATCATGTTCACAGTGATGTGAATAAATGTTTAGTGACTTCTGTAAATAGAGTGACACAATTTTAGTGTTTCAGGGAACTATTCCCACCTACAAGGCTCCCAAATAATAGGGGAGGGTTTTGTTTTTTTCTCAATCTTTTATTTAACTTTTTATGTATGTACATATGTATGTGCAAGTGTGTATGCATATTTTTAAGGTTATATAATTATATAAAAGAATGTTCTTGGCTTCAGCTGGTTGAATATATATTTCTGTGGTTAATAAATTCTTAAACTAGAAAATTTTTTTTTCTTAAATAAAAGAATGATATAAACTGGCACACTACTATATAGTTGTGGTTTCCAACCTGCTGTGCTAGACTTCTAACTAGCCATTAAACAATGAAATGATTTTCAAAAGGCTCACAGGCACTGTATCTAGTGATTAAAAGAAATATCAAAGTGTATTTTGTTGTGGATAGAGCAATTTGGCTTAAGTTTTGACTGGTTATTGAACACATTAGGATTTCAGGAAGCATGGTTGGTATTTCCAACATTTACTGCTGTCACAGTATAGGTAGTTACAGTGCATGAATTAGCTAATTAACTAAATTATTGTGTGATGGACCTTGGACCTTGAGAATACAGTGACATCCAAACTCTGTGAGCCAGGAGAAAGTCCCTGACTACTTATTTATTTGCACATTCACCAACAATGGCAGTGAAAATATTTAATGTTACAGTATTATTAGCACAGGTAAAATCTGAAACGATATTAAAATATAAAAAGTAGCCATAGCTCGTAACAGTAGGTAAACCTTTCAAACGTTGGAATCCACAAAAAAACTAATGATAAGTTCGCCATAACGAAAATATAAAATACCTGTGTACTGAAGTAACATAAAGACCATTCCATCATGGGATGCCATGATTATCCTTAGCAATAATATCCTGGGTTACAAGTCCTGCAAAATTTTTAAAATTTTGGATAAACATATGTTTAATATTAGATTGTGTAAATGTAATTTTCTTAAAGTTAATAAAGACATTGCAGATGATTTAACAGTTGTATAGAACTGGTAGTGAAAGTGTAACAATTATCCGTTTTCCTTTCCCTTTTTAAACTAACCTTCAGTCACCCAGAGAAGATAAAATAAATTAAACAAAAATTCCAATCCAAATTCTTGACTTTCGTCAAGACCCATCTTTTATTGAGAGAAACTTTTTGGCCCTTTTCACCTAATTTTGAACACTGAATGTTTTAAAATAATAACTGACATTATTCCATAATTGTTCATTACTCTAAATTGCTTACAATTGTATTTATGTATGTATATACATATACATTCACACAATATCTATTGTTTGTTCTTATCAAAAACATGATTTTTGGCTATTAAATTGATTCAATTACTTATTCAAGTTATTCAACATCAAACTTATTCAGGTATTTCTCAAAATAATGAGAATCCAAACTGATACAGACAGCATTTTGTTCCCAAGAAAGTCACAGAATACTGGAGACTCATGCATAATTGCAGCGTTTAGTAAAATGTTTTATAAAAGAAGATCACTTAATGTACTGTTGGAGCACAGAGAAGAATCAAGGAAGTATTTGAAAGCAAGGCAAAACAGTCAGGGAACAGAAAGGATGTAACAAAAACCTAGAGATATGAGAGTACCTGATATAGTTTGGCTGTTTGTCCCCAAGCAAATCTCACCTTGAATTGTAGTAATCCCCACGTGTCAAGGATTGGACCAGGTTGAGATAATTGAGTCATGGGAGTGGTTTCCCCCATACTATTCTCGTTGGTCCTGTAGGTTGCAGAAGACAAGAATTAGGGTTTGAGAACCTCCACCTAGATTTCAGAGGATGTGTGGAAATGCCTGGAGTTCCAAGCAGAAATCTGGTGCAGGGGCAGAGCCCTCATGGAGAACCTCTGCTAGGGCAGTGTGGAAGGGAAATGTGGGATTGAAGCCCTATACAGAGTTCCCACTGGGGCACTGCCTCGTGGAGCTGTGAAAAAAGGGCTGCATTCCTCCAGACTCCAGATTGGTAGATCCACTGAGAGCTTGCACTGTGCACCTGGAAAACCTGCAGACACCCAACGCTAGCCATGAAAGCAGCTGGAAGAGGGGCTGTACCCTGCAAAGCCATGGGGTGGAGCTGCCCAAGGCCATGTGAGCTCACCTGTTGCATCAGTGTGTGCTGGATGTGAGACATGAGTTAAAGGGGATCATTTTGGAACTTTAAGGTTTAATGACTGTCCTATTGGATTTCAGACTTGGATGGGGCCTGTAGCCCCTTTGTTTTGGCCAATTGCTTTCATTTGGAATGGGTGTATTTACCCAATGCTTGTACCCCCATTGTATCTTGCTTTTGATTTTACAGGCTCATAGGTGGAAGGGACTAACCTTGTCTCAAGTGAGACTTTGGACTTGGACTTTTGGGTTAATATTGGAATGAGTTAAGACTTTGGGGGACTGTCAGAAGGGCATAATTGTGTTTTGAAATGTGAGAAAATGAGATTTGGGAAGACCATGGTGGAATGATATGGTATAGCTCTGTGTTCCTACCCAAATCTCACCTTGAATTGTAATAATCCCCATGTGTCAAGGGCGGGACCAGGTGGAATCCTGGTTGAATCACAGGGGTGGTTTCCCCCATATTATTCTCTTGATAGTGAGTAAGTTCTCAAGAGATCTGACGGTTTTATATGGGGCTTCTCTATTTGCTTGATTCTCATTCTTCTCTCTCCTGCCACCATACGAAGTAGGTCATGTTGCTTTCCCTTCCGCCATGTTTGTAAGTTTCCTGAGGCCTCTCCAGCAATGCAGAACTGTTGAGTCAGTTAAACCTCTTTTCTTCATAAATTACCAAGTCTTTGGTATTTCTCCATAGCCACATGAGAACAGACTAATACAGTATCTAAATTCAAAAATTGCACATGAACACAGGCCTAGAACAGATGTTTCAAATTTGTTCAGAAGGCAAAGAAACTGTTGGTCTTGAGTTAATTTACAAACATTATACTCTATGTGGAACAGCATGAAATAGTGATTAATTTGATTCAGATACTTGGATTAGTGCATTGTCATGAAGGAATGTAAAATATGGGAACATATACACATGTGTTATAATCTGTCCACCTAATCTTGGCTAATGGGTTTACTGTTTTTCTATTAATAATTATTTGCTAATACAGTCATTCATCATTTAACAATGGGAGTATCCTCTGAGAAATGCATGGTTAGGCGATTTTGTCATTGCTTGGACATTATAGAGTGTATTTACACAAACTTAGATGGTATAGCCTGCTACACATGTAGGCTATATGGAGTGTAGTATAGGTTTATAACCTAGAAGCAATAAGTTACAAACCTGTACAGCATGCTACAGTATTGAATACTGGAAGCAATTATAACACAATGGTACATATTTGTCTATGTAAAAATATCTAAGCATAGGAAAAGGTACAGTGAAAATATAGTGTCATAATCTTACGGGACCGCTATCATATATATGTTTTGTTTACAAAAACATCATTATGCAGCACATGAGTATACATTTATTTATGTTTTGGGATTTAAATTGTCTTTAAGATGCCACAGGAGTCAAAGAATTTTAAATGATCTTTTATTTTCCTTGGTAAAATGGAAATAGGAATATTTACTCACTGTAGAAAATGTATAATATTATATAAAATAGGAATCACCTATAATTATACCATCCAGGAATACCTACACTTTGCATTTGATTTATAATCATTCTTCCCCTTCCTCCTTCTTGTACATGCCCCTATGTATAGACACATTATTTTTTTATTTAGCAAAATTAGGATCTGATTGAAATGTGTTCTGCATCCTGATTTTTATACTGAATGTTATTTTTTCTGTGATACTAATGATTCATTGGACCAGGCATATTAATATGCCAGTATAGGATGCTAAATGGGAAATATTAATATTGGATATTCTCAGGCTCAGACATATGAGTAATGCAGAGATTAGAGGGAACAAGACATGAGATAGGAGGCTACAGAAGTAGTTACTTTGATAATTCATATGAAAGATAATGTGAGCCTGGATCCAAGTCAGTGGGAATAAAAAAACAGGCTAAGGGGGATTCTAGAGGTTTTGGGGCTGTAGAACAGACATGTTGTGTGTTTGCATGGTTAATTGAATAAGTGAACATTAAGGAAAGAAACCAATCTAGAGTGACTTCAAGTTTTGAGCTTTGTGACTATTTAAAAAGTATAATGCTATTCTATACTGAGCTAAAAGGTACATGGAGAGAATCCAATTTAATCCATTCATTGCAAATTATTGAGTTCTTCTATAGACCAGGATCTGTGCTAGGAATAGGGGATACAATTCTGGACAAATTAGATGTCTGCTGTTATATAAATTAGATGTCTGTAGCAGATAGATTTTTAAATAATAATAAAAATAAAACAATGATGCCCATCATTCTACTATTCAAAGAATTTTTAATGAGCATCTACACTGAGCCAGGCACTGTGTGAATTGCTGGGGATACTGTGGTGAGAAAATCAGTCATAGTCTTACCTTCATTAAGCTCGTAGCATAATGAGACATATAAGGATAGTCAAATAATTATAAAATTATATAAGTAAAATCTGTTCATGAAAAAATGTCTTGACATAAATCATAGTGTATATAGAAAATTAAAATAGGGGATGTAAATTAGTGGGGTGACTAAAAGTTTCTCTATTGATGCTTATATTGGTCGAGTCCTAAATGGTGAACAGGAGTCATTGCCCTTCTGCATTCCAGGCAGAAGGACCAATAAATACAGAAAATCTGAAGCGTAGAGAAGCATGACCGACTTCAGGAGCTGAAGGCCATTTAGTATGTTTAAGAATAGAGGTTGGGGCCAGGCGTGGTGGCTCACGCTTGTAACCTCAGCACTGTGGTAGTCCAAAGTGGGTAGATCACAAGGTCAGGAGTTTGAGGCCATCCTGGCCAATATGGTGAAACCCTATCTCTACTAAAAATACAAAAATTAGCTGGGTGTGGTGGGATGCACCTGTAGTCCCAGCTGCTCAGGGGCTGAGGCAGGAGAATCGCTTGAACCTGGGAGTTGCAGTGAGCCGAGTTTGCGCCACTGCACTCCAGCCTGGGTGACAGAGCGAGACTCCATCTCAAAAAAAAAAAAAGAATAGAATAGAGACTGGGAAAGCAAGAGAGAAAGGAGAAATCTAGAGAACACTTAGATATATCATAGAAATTAGAACTCATAGGCCATGTTCCAGAATTTATATTTTGTTCACTGGGCACATGAAAACCACTGAAGTATTTTAGTTGTGGTGGTCAGGTTGAGGCCACAGTTGGATTTTTCTTTTGGAAAAACAATTTAGCCACAGTGGGTTGGAGAGATACAAAGCAAGATGCTGTTGCAGGAATATAGACATGACACAATGGTGTGCTGGGCTTGAAGGTTTATCGTTGAAATGGAAAAATGAGGGATTCAAATCAGTTTTGATATTTCAGAGGTAAAGTCAATAGAAATTTCTGATAGATTGAATGTGGAGGTTGAAAGAAGGGTGCTATCAAGGGTGAATCCTATTTATTTGACTTGGGTAATAGGTGGTGGTGCCATTTAATACTCTGAGACAACGTAAGTTTTAGTTTTAGGGTTTTTGTTTTGTTTTGTTTTTGTTTTTGTTTTTTTGTTGGAGAAAGTGTTGGAGAAGATAAGTCATTTAGATTTGAACCTAGTGAACTTCAGGCATCCTTATGATATCCAAATGGACATGGTGAATGACAGTGGACACATGTAACTAAAACTTAGCATACAGGCCTTAGCTGAATGTAGAGATTTTGTAGTCATGAGCAAACTGTTGGTAATTGAAACCACTGCTGTGGGTGTGAGTTTGTATGGGAAGATAGCACATTCCTGTCTGGATATGCTGAATTTGAATTATCTCTGAAAAATTTAGATACGTTCATGGAAAGACATTAGTGATACATCTAATGACATTGTAGTCTGTGAAATAGAAAGTGGTAACCCTGCCAGGAGGTAGCAGAGATGGACTTTGAGCAGAATGATCATGTCCTCTTTTTGGTGTCTAGCTGCTGCAAGGAATCAAAAAGAGAGCAGAAAAAAATATGAGATGGCAGGGAGTGCTGGGTGCCCCACTGGTTGCTCTTCAGCTGTTCTCTTGTTCTTGACTCAAAAGAGAAACTTCCTTAAACTGATTTTTAAAAGAACTTTTGTTTCCTTCACTTCTGTCCTCTTCTTTAGTCCCTTCCCTTTCTCCTCCTCCTTCTCCTCCACCTCCACCTTCTTTTCTTCCTCTTCCTTCATCTCCTCCTCCTACACCTCTCCTTCCTCCTTCTCCTTCTTTTTCTCCCCTTTGCCATCAGTTTTGTCTAGTGAGAAAAAGTGCAATAGAGTAGCTGGAGTTCCTCCTGGGGTCACAAAAGCCCATATTGAGATAAATGAGTCCAGGGACCCACATTTCTGGCACATAGGGATGAGAAATTGAGCAGAGCAGTGAGGAGCGTTATTAGCTGTGTGGCTTTGGGAAAGACTTTTATATGCTCTGATGTTCAGTTTTCTTATCTGTAAAATGATAATACTCATAGTACCTAATAAAAGAGTCTTTCAGGTAGTTAAATGAGGTTAAGTTTGTAAAGCTTAATTATATTGTAAATGCACAGAAAATTGTACTTATTAAACACTGTATTTCTGTTTTGAATCTCAGGCCTTTATAAGTTATTGTTCTAGATCAAAAATATTTGATAAAATATTTTTAAGTTATCTTTTAATCATCTAGTCTATTTAAGGAACTACGATAGTTGTTAAAGGGTCTAAAAAACACATATAGGATGACTTCTCTAATTCTAGTCAAATGTACAATCTAGACATCTACTCAGAAAGACATGTCACTTTTTCCCAAAAGAAGCATTTTCAAAATAGTTCTATGAGGGAATGCATTTATTATTATTTTGCATTTATTATTTTGTTCTGTTATAAATTAGTTTTAATTATTTTAATAAATATCCAATAATATTTTGTTTGGCCTTCTCCCCATAGTATTGTTCTCTGTGGCCTCCCTTATTAGGATTATATTGATTTTAGAATTGGATTATGTTTCAAATTATTAATATGCTAAGTGTATCAAATTTTCTCTCTAGAAAGAACAAACCACTTTGTAAACTTCAAGAAATCAAGATTCTTGCTCAATTTTACAATGACTTTGCAAATATTTCAAGCATTGGTTTGACGTATTTCCAGAGCTCAAATATGGAGTGTTCCACATGCACATACAAGATCCAGAGTCTCATGTTAAAATCACTTACATATCCAGAAAGGTAAGAAAATTAAATTTTGATTTCAACGTGTTATCTTTTAAACTTGAAAATATTGCTTTGTTAAGTAATGGTTTAAGAATTCATGTATTCAAATATCTGTTTATTGTGTATTTCAGACTATATTTTACATAAATATTAGAATCTCAAAAAGGTTTAAAGGTTTTTTTTGGCTTTAATAAAATTTATTTGGGAATCTCATTGTCTAATTAAAGAAAAAACACACACAATCATTTCATAGACACAATAAAGATAAAAAACAAGTAACACCTATGCCTGCCTCAGAAGTTTACCAGTAATTTCTTTCATATACATACATATTAACAGAGTGGTGAGAGTCCTTTTCCACAGTTTTTTAGATGAGGGTCAATGTCTAAAACTCTCTAAGAAAACATATGGTGACAGAAGATAGACTTTATCGTGACTTCCAGCAATATCTTCTTTCTCTCAACTTCATTGCTGTTTACTTAGGAAGACAGAAAAGCCCACTTTAATCTGCTGTATCTAAGATCCTATGGATCACTTGAGATTCAACCCCAAGAATACACTGACAGGAGTAAGGTTCTCAGATGTTTACTATAACAGCGCGAGGAGAAGCTGACACTTTACATTGCCGTTTTATAGTCACATGTCTTGGTTTGTCAGTATATCACAAATATCTCCATTCCTATTAAAATGTAACACAATCCTGACTGGGCACCATTTTCTTGAAGGTGATATGCTCTAGAAGTGTTTTTCTTATCACATTTAATATGCTCTTCTCAGTTCTACATCCTCACAGAGGTTTTCCCACTATCCTTGTTCCACATAATATAGATGTACATGTTTGCTGTAGAAGAATCCATATTTCCATTGACAATACCCTGTGAAATCATTAAGAACTATTAAAAATCTCTTTATAAGTTGGTCATCTGTCAATCTGCATGTATGAGTTGTCCAAACAGTAAGCATCAGCTGAGAGCCTACAGAAATGGGTGTGTAGATTGTTGGGAATCTCTCTTTTTTAGTTGACTGTGGTGCTTCCTCTTTATTTCTCTTTATGTTCCTGTATTTATATATATTTATTTCCCAGTTATCTTCTTGTCAATGTTGAACATAGTACACAAGAACCTGTGGAGAGTAAAAATAAAAATAATAAATGATAATAATATACATTTAGATGAGGCCTGTATCAATAGAAGAGAGTTGGGAAGTCATTTTATAACTTTTGTTGTGATATTATTTAGTTACTGAAAAGTCAGTAAATCAGATGTCACTAAAATGGCAAAAATCTAGGAGTAATTGTATTGTTCCATGCCTTTGATTGAGATACTTACAAAAACACCAAAATATCTGAACATTTTCGGCAGGAATATTAGCAACATCATTCCCTATGAAAGTACATAGTGGGGAGGGATCATGCCTTGAAGGACCAGAGCTGTAAGATTTTCAATCTTCAACTAATCTCAGTATTTGTTGTTGTTATTATTATTATTATTATTGCTTCTCATCACTCTCTCTTTTCCAAAACATCTCATACTTTTAATGGTAAAGGGCTACTGTATTTGGGGACTCCATTATCTGGTCATTAGAACAGCATATACAGTTGTGGAGTAGGCATATTTTGCTGGATTTTTCTAGAGTTTCTATAAAACACTCTTACAGGGCAATTTTTACTCTATGATTCTGATAAAAATTCAAGTAGCATGCTGATTAAAATTCACATCTTAGGGAACTTGATGTCAAGAAGGTACTTCTTAGGACAGATAATGCAAATAATTGAGTTGATAGGTATTAAAATATATATCAAATATAAGTTTAAGTTAATATACTAATTATAGTATAAATATAAAATTTAAATTATAAGTATGTAAATTGGCCAAGCATGGTGGCTCATACCTGTAATCCCAGCATTTTTGGAGGCCAAGTTGGGAGGATCACTTGAAGCCAGGAGTTTGAGACCAACCTGGGCAGCAATGCGAAATCCCATCTCTACAAAAAATTTTAAAAATTAGCTATGCATGATGGTGTGTGTTTCTGTAGTCCCAGCTGCTAAGGAAGCTGAGGTGGGAAAATCACTTGAGCCTGGAGGTCGAGGCTGCAGTGAGCCATAATTGTGCCACTGCACTCTAGCCTGAGCAACGGAGCAGGACATGGTCTCACAAAAAAAAAGAAGAAAAAAAACAACCATATATATATATATATATATATAAAATCTATTATCTATAATCTATAACTATACTTATATAATACACAATTATTATAATCTATAATTAAACCATTGACCTAATATGCTGATATTTTTGCTTATTTCCTTTAGGTTAGTTTATGTATTCATTTATTTATTCAATGTTGTTTCAATTTTTTCTATTTTTTAATTATAATTTAAGTTCTGGGATACACATGCAGAACGTGCAGGTTTGTTACATAAGTATACACATACGATGGTGGTTTGCTGCACCCATCAACCTGTCATCTACATTAGGTATTTCTCCTAATGCTATCCCTTCCCTAGCCCCCCAAGCCCTGACTATTATTTTGAAGATGCAAAGCCTCCACTACACATAAGAATGGAAATTATATTTGTAGTCCACTAAGGCTAGGCTGTAAAGGGGCCAGGAGTTTTGCATCATTGTAACAGGGGTTGTTGTTCCCTAGTTGCCTTATTAAAACCTTCTAAATGTAAAGTTGGAGTATAAATAGAGATGTCTAGAAGTTACAGTGCATGCTTTCTTCCTGGGATTTAAATGTAAAGAATTTATATTATCCAGGGATAAAGTTTTCTCCCTATGGTATCATAAATACAAGGGAATTTCCTTCTCAGTCCAGAGGCGGCACACATTGTAAATCTTGGCCAGACATCAGAAATTTAGCTAAAATATTTGCATATAAAACAACCTGTAAGCTCAAGATGAGAAAGAGAAATTTAGTTCCATTCATGTGGACAGTAAAAAGAACCAAGGATAATCCACCCTCTGTGTACATGGGCAAATGCCAGGTCAGCTGCCACTTTCATCATTTAAGCAGAAGTGAACAGGAAAAACACAACAAAACAACAACAAAATGAGGCCTAATGCAGCATAGCAATGCAAGAAGAAAAAGCATAACAATCAAGATTTAGAAATATGGTTGACTTTTTAAAAGATTTATAACAGGAAACAGAAGAAAGTTCCATAAAGCATTGCTCAGTGTTCTCAATGGTATTTAAGAAAACAAAAATCCATATAAGAACTGATGAAGAGTGAGATGATGAGACAACTGATTGCCATTAAAAGAAAGTTGACTGAGTTAAAAAAAAAACAAACAACTAAAGTTATTTGGTATCAACATCAAAGTAGTAAATAATAGATTTGACCAATAATATAGAAAATATATTTATTGATAACTTATGGAATAAGGAGATACAAAAATAGAGAAAATAGGGTCTTAGGGTGAAATAACTGAAATGCAATATTGTGGATACCTAATGTTGCTGAAGAGGAGACACAACAGAAGAACTAACTGCAGACGTAATGAAAAAAATTCCCCTTCAACTGAGGAAAAGAAGACACAGATCTCAAATGGAAAGGATGAACCGAAAACTGGGAACTAAAAGAACTAAAAAAACAAACATTTAGGCCTATTCTTATAAATTTTATTTTAAAACTTTGATGATGAAGAGAATTCTGCAAATATTCAAAAAATTATCAAGGGAGTAGAAGATTCAATGTTGTAGCAATAGCAACTCTTGTTAAATGCACCTACAAGATTCACATGACTCCAGTCAAAATCTAAGGTAGATATTGCATGGTTCTTCCTAATCAATTTGGAATTACAAATAATAAGATGAGCCAAATGGTCTGAATAATGAATGTTGTTTACAGCTTTATGAAACAGTAATATTCCAAAACAACAATAAAGATATTTGATACTTGAGGAAGAATATAATGGAATAAATGGAAAATTCCAAAATAGAATTTTGTACATAAGAATAGCATTACAGAAAATGATGCCAGAATAAATGGCAAGTGAAAAAGACTGATATGCATTATATCAAGATTAATTTTAGATATGGTAAAGTAATAAATGTATACTGGTAAACAAAAAAAAAGGAAGAAAATCTAGGCAAATGTTTATATTTGCACAATAATGAAAGCCAAGACAGAAAACTGAAAGGAAAATATTACGGTTGCCTATAAATATACAAAATTAAAACTGTGTGTCACAAACAGAATTAACAAAATTAAACTGAAAAAACTTTTGTAATGTATATGACATAGATGGATTTAAATTATTTATATATAAATAACTTTTACAAAAATATTTTTAAAATACATTCTAGTTGAAACATGGAAAGAAATATCCTTCCAGTTGTTTAAGCCAAGAAACCTGGGTTCATCACAGACTAGTCTTTTTCTTCTCACTCATCATCCAATCATGAAATCTCTTTGTTCCTACCTTCTGAAAATATCCAGAATTCTTCACCACCTGTATTACTACAAACTCACTAAGTGTTATCGTCTCTCCTTGAATTATTAAAATAGCCTCTTATGTGTTCTCTTGCTTTTAGCTTTGTGTCCTATAATTTGTTGTCAGTACAGTGTCCAGAGTGACCCTTTTAAAAGTGGGTTATGTCACACTTCTGCTCAACAATCTCAAAAGTCTTGCCTTCACACTTCAAATAAAAGCCAAAGTCTTCACAATAGCTTACAAACTCCACATGATCTAGCTAGTATCTCCACTGCCTGATACCTCCCAATCTCAACGCCTTGACTACTGTACTTGTATACTTAGCTATATCCAGACAGCCTTCTTTGCTGTTCCTTGAACACACCGGATAGTATCCTCCTTAGAACCTTTGCACTGGATGTTCCCTCTGCCTAGAAATTTCTTCCCCTTGAAGCGCCGATGGCCAACTTTCTCACCTCCAAGCTTTTGCTCAAATGCCATTTTCTCAATGAAGCCTACTTTTATCATCCTGTTTACAGTTGTGAGCAGCAGCTCTACCACTCTCAATCGTCTTACCTGGAATTTTTTGTTGTTGT